TCCACAGACCGCATATGAAGCTGAAAAGAAATAAAATGTATCTTTCATATTGGTAGACGAAATTTCAGTGAGTGATCAAGCTTTTTAATTAAAAGTTCCAACATTAAACAAGACTTTAGTATAAATAACCAAACTTGGTTAGTCTGCACTTTGATATTGTAAAAAGTTTAACCGAAAACTGCGTTTATATTTAAGAATGAGACTAAAGTTTTACCGCAAAGATTTGGAAATGTAGAAAATGAATATAACAATTGAGGTCAATAAGTTTGGCAAATTTTATACAGTAAGAAAAAAAGTGGTTCAACATACTAGAAGCTAATATAAGTATAAGTCAAAAACTTTCCATGGATTTATAGAGTTAAGTTTATTTTGTAGCATTACCGTTAAAGTCAAAGTGAAAAAGTTTATATTGATAAACCGTGACATATAGCTTTGTGTAAAGCCATCAAGTAAACAAAGGTTTATAAGAATATACATAAACTATCGTCAGTTTTTGTCCCTATTTCATGCATTTTAATTCCATATTGGATAGTTTACAGAACGATTAAATTAATGAAGAAATAAAAAATTGTCAAATTGGAAAATTCGTATAGCTATAAACCGGGTGTAGCTATATGCTTAAAGGGAGTGTTCGTTATTTAAGGGAAAAGAAATAAAATGTATCTTTTAGATTGGCAGATGAAATTTCAGTGAATGATCAAGCTTTTTTGATTGAAAATTCCAACATTGAACAAGACTTTTGTACAGACAACTAGATTTGGTAAGTCTGCATTGTGATATTGTAAAAAAAGTTTATCTCTCAATTCCATGTTCACTAAAAACCCTATGTTCTCCATTTCAATGTAATAAACATGTTGTAAAATCACTAAAACGCTGAGTGGGATTGCAGGTTCTCATTCCAAATGACACTCGTTTGTAATTTCTTACACAAAATTCAAATTTTCAATTTTAAGCTCTTGTAAATTGGAAATGCTCTGAGTTCATCATATATCCGAATACGTATGTATGGGACCTAAAATTACTCTTTTACTGGAAACAATACTTTCGTAATTTCCATTTCCTCGACAACATTTGTAATCAAACACCTCAAATAGTCCAGCTGTTAATGACAAAAAAAACACCTAACCGTTCACTTTGATATTACAAGTATGAAACTTTCTCACATTCTTAATATGCCTAGAAACACAAAATTTTGATATAGGGCCAGCCCATATTTTACATTTAAAACGACTTCTGCGAATGTCGTGTTTGATGACGTCGTCGGTAGAAAAAAAAAGTTCAGAGAAATCTGCAATTCCCTGTATATTCTTAAACAAAGCTAAAGATGATAGAAACACTTTATTACCACTTTTCTTTTGGGCAATACTTTCCCAAATATTGTGCATGAAAATATTCTGAAAAGTGCTGAGTCAACCGTACGTCCTGTCCCAAGTGCAGGAGTCACTATTTCACTATGGTGATAGCCGGGGCACATTGTAATACACTTTGTATATTACGCTCACTGCGCGTGCGTAGTTTGAGCACTGTCGGATTGTGTGGAGAGTCTCATATGGAGACGTTCAACGTGTTCGCGATATGCAAAGCTCACCTTTATAGGTTTGAGCACTGTAGTGATTCTACAATACAATCCATATAATGTGTAACCGTACGTCCTGTGTCCCAAGTGCAGGAGTCACCATTTCACTATGGTGATAGCCGGGAGGACAATGTATATACACTTTGTACATATATAATATATATATAGTGTATAACAATGTGCCTCCGGCTCCTATAGTGCAACGATAAATCGTATCGAAACAATGAAGAACATTCAATAAAGTTTCTTTAAGATTTATTACCTTACTTGTGTTAGTATTCAGAATACTTATTCACTCTATCCTTTAACATTTCAGGTTTTTAGCACTTTTTGTCACTTCAATGTTTTGAAACGCTTCAAAACAATCACCTAATTGATTCTCAACTCGTACATAAAAATCGTACGCACTGACCAACCATAAAGTAATCTGTTATAATGTCCTTACTTGTTCTTGTTGTAAAACTTTGCTTTAAGATTGTAATGACGTGTGTCGAGGATTCCGCCACTCTGCTGGTTCACTAACACTCTTCGAGCCTTTTATTTTACAAGCCAAACAATCTACAAGTACATCACTGTTGTATTTTACGCTATGAGTTAATTATTTACATGTTATTTATAGTATCGGTAATTACGTAAGTCGAGCTTTCCTTTACGTCAATAGCCGTATTCACTCTTTCATTGCGTTTCAAGTTCTCACGCGTTGCAACAAAACTAAAGAACTTACAAAACGTACTTAAAACAAAGAAATGTTAAAGTGAAACTAACATAGTTACGACAATTTTATTGCCAAGCTCAAAAGAATGCAATATCCCACACAACGTGCGCATAATTTGCGTGTTCAATTTAATCAATACAAAACGTACTTAAAACAAAGAAATGTTAAAGGGAAACTAACATAGTTACGACAATTTTATTGCCAAGCTCAAAAATGCAATATCCCACACAACGTGCATAATTTGCGTGTTCTATTTAATCTCTTTTCTCTGTAGAATCTTTTTGATCAAGATGTAAACACAACAAAGCATGCACATGTAGTGTCAATAACTGCTTCCCTCGTAGAAAATTATGCAATTCATGGACTGATGGATGTATTACGATTTTCCCTGATTTCGCTTCGATATTCATTTTGCAACTTCTGGGCCTTTTCTTCAAAGATGCTTTTGTCTTTTATACCAGCTTAAAGTCGTTTGTAAAGATGTAAGTTTTTCTGAAAGGGAACTCCACCCAAAAATAATGTTGGTCTTAAAAGTTCCATTTTATGCAAAGGTTACTATATTTTGAAATTTTACATCAGCTATTTTATTTTTGACAAAATCGCGTCTTCAAGTGCGCTATTTGAGCTGTTTTGAGGCTTAGCAGCGTGGGCACAGAAAGCGTCAGCGGAAATTATTTTGACGTCATATCGTCAAACCGATTTGGAGTTGAGTTTACAACAAAGTAAAATAATAACGCACAGCCTAGCACAAAACAAAACAATTGCTTATAATGGCTTTTGGAAGAACCTCGGCCTAATTCACCAATCGATAGTGAAATGGAAGACAATCCAACAAACAATATTCGGCCATATCAGTTTGAGCCCGAATGGCCGGCTGATGAACACGAAGAAGCTCACCAGTTTGAGGATAACGAAGAACAGGAATTTTTGTATATTGACGATGAATCTCGGCGCGACAATCTTGAATGGTGGGTAGTAAAATGTTATATTATTCTAGACCAATGTTTCTATCTCAAAAGTACGTTTTCAGTTTTTGAAGTTGACCACGTCCACACACACATAATACTTTAGATTTTAAAGTTTTTATTGTAAGATACAATTTTTATTGAAGTTTTACATTTACTTTTCAAGATCCTTTCTTTTAACATATTCAGGTGTCAATGTGGTAACTGCCAAATAATGGATAATAACGAGGAATGTTTATGCTGCAAAGAGATTTCCAATATTTGTGACAAAAATTTAGAGGCAGTAGAAACGAATGAGACCACCGAAGTCCCTTTGTGCATTACACAACATCCTGGTTTTGAGCCTGTTTGTCTTAACAGGTGGGTTTTACAAACAGCTTGGTACCAGTACAAGCAGCAATATGAGGTAGCATATGATGGGCCCGAAGACAAACTGTACTGCCATATTGCATATAGACAGTTGGCAAGATGGTGCTGGGGTGTCTTGGGTAGAGAGTGAGAGTCATCTTGCCATCATGTGCAGTTACTCGCATTAGAGAAACATTTCCTCCACCTGGCCTTGCAGAGGAATTTCAATTTGAAGGCTTTCACTATGTTGATGAATGAAGTATTTTATTATGATATAGGTATACCCATTACAATTACTTTGTATGTCAATATTAAAGTGGCATAGCCAGCTCATTTATAGGTCATGCTATGCACATTTATTATTATTAATTTATTACAAAAAACAGATTTACAAAGAAATGATTATAAATGTGGCTTGGCTATTACACTGGTTATAATATAACTATAATTAATTACATGAATAGTTTGTGCAATGCAGTGGTGAAACTAGCTATAGCAAAGGTTTTGCTATGTTAATATTAAGAATGAACATTTTTAAGTAGTACACAAGTTGTCTTCACTGATTCAACGTCATATTACATGGGTATGGCAAAACCTATTGCCATAGCTAACATCAACACTGACATTTTATGCTATTGTAGACTGATGTTCCTTTACAAGTACTTCTTTCCTGGGTGGACATGATTTAGAAATGTTCTTTGGAAGATTCTTGCCATGATGTACAAGTTCAATCTCCTCAGTTTTGCATGCATTCACAACCTCCGCAAGTAGTTTATCAATGTACTGGTACTCTTTCTTTTCTTTCATTGCTTTTACAACCCATTGCTTCTGTGTTTTAGCAAAAATCATTTTGTAATGGTCTTGCCCTTTGTTTGTCCCTGACTTAATGACTGCTTTATCACGTTTAATATTGTTGTTGTGATCTAATTCTGCTAACTGAGTGCGGGCTACCATCCCAGGAAATGAAAAATGCTCTCGCTTTGGGCAATATTTCAGTAAAAGGGAATGGTAAACCTCCAACTCTCCTGGGTGACAAAACTCAGATAGCTTCCGCAGGTCTTTTAGAAGCCTCTTGTCACATATCACCTTCTCTGCAGCGATATATGCTTGTGAAGTAGGAGATAATCACTTCTTCTGCTTTGTTTCTTTTTCTGTTAATTGTTGGTGGCAACATTGATGAAAATATGTGTTCCCCTTCGAGAAATGCTTGTTGGAAATGTGGTTAAGGACAGACATCCATTTTTCCACCAATTCTTCTGCATTCTTGTTACAATTTGCAGAGCACCACCAAAGATGATTAGAAATGGACTTAATCCAATGGGTCAAGTCATCATTTCCCTTAATGTTAGCCTTCGTTGTTAGTTTTTTTATGACAGATTTAGACAAATGCCACATCATATTGGTGATCAATATGAGGGTGTTTGTTTTTCATAGCACTGGCAATCGAAACATGTCTATCTGTTGTTATTCGCTTAACAGGAACTAGCTTTTCAACTTCAGACAGACATCTTTCAAATGCTTCTTTCTCCATAGCATTAGAAGAACTGACTTCAGTACTTTGCACAACATTAAAAGTTACTATCTTACCAGAGTCAGCCATCATTGTATAAGTACCATACTTGGCATTATGCCCTGGGCTATCACATCGACCATCACCATTCACATTAAGACTACCAGACTTCTTAGCTTTGGCAATAACAGCTGATTTCTCCTCTTTCCAAGCTTTGTCAACAACAGGAAAAAGATACTGCTTTTGAAGGCTGTAAAAACTGGTTTTTCCAATAAATTCAAGATTCATGAAAGATGCAAATTGGCTGATTCTTTCATAAGTGTTTCCACTAAATAAAGTTGATGCAGCCAAAAGCAAATTTCCAGCTGGGACATTCCTTATGAGTGGTTGAGATGTCCATGTTGTGTGATGACCATTTATACAAAAAAGATTAAATGATAGTAAACTACCTACAGTGTTTTCTTCACATTCAATTAATGTCTCTCCACAAGAAAGACACTTTGAAAGAAGACTAATAAGACAGGACTTGAAAACAATATATTTCTTTTCCTCTTGGGGTTCAATTTGGATTGCTTCATCATCAGTTGTAGAGTCTTCTGACACCTGGTGAACCAGTCGTCATGAACATTATCACAAGACTCTTCTGTTATCTGTGATGATGCTTCTTCAAAATCAGAAGAATAGCACTGTTCATACATTGAGGTGTTGCTTTCAAAGCAAGATTCCTCAACTTGAACCTCTGCATCCACAGTATTCAGCATCGACAGTGTAGTTTGGACTTCCATGGCATGTAAACTCCTCACAACAAATGAACACTGTTGATGCATCTTTGGTTTCTGGCTTGCAATAATTAGTTGGCAATGCTTCAGGACTGTCAGACGCACCCAAATCACAACTGTTATTTGCTTCAGGCTCAATCACTGAGAAAACATTTGTACTTGTGGAGGAACATTGTTCTAAAATATTTAAAAGCTGAAAATAGAAAAAATAGAAATATTTAGAATATACTTTAGGCTATAACTTTTTCTTGATTAAAATTTAACAAGAAATGCTTTTACTAACTTCCTCCTTGTCTTGATCAGCCTGACGTTTCTCTGTACGATGCTCGCTAGACAGACGCTTTTTTACTGGGTTGAGGGCCAAATGAAAAGATCGATGGTACTGCATCCCGCTTCAGTCGCCTTTTTAAAGGTTGCCATGGTGTAAGTTTCTGTCTTAGGTCCGATTTAAAACAATCGGGAGCAAAGTGCTCGCTGCAAACGTAACAGTATTGGAGAGAGGAGGTAGATTTTCTCTCCGTATTCTAGCAATCCATGCCTTTTGACGGGAGGGGTCTTTCGGAATAAGGTGGAAACTAACACCTGAAGATTTTGACTTCGACGAGTAATTTGTACAACCCGGAACACAACAGTTGACCATTGTCGCAGAATTCGTTTAGTTCGTCCAAATTGATCTGCACTCTGATTCTTAGTTATAGAATTTTTATTAAGAAAGAAGTACGACTTTTCTTATCAAATAACAACTCTACTGCGTAGTCTCTAATTTTACTTCTATTTATACCAATGGTTTCGTGCGTAGGAAATAAATTTTCGTCCCAAATGTGACTTAAAAAAGGCAAATTATGTACAATAATTAGGAAACTATAAGTTCATACTTTACGTCAAAAACTACACCTTAATTCTATGCATGAAAGGCTATTTTACAATGGTTTTATGTAGGATTATTTTCTAACCGTAATGAGTTACACAACCATGTTTATTATTATTCAATGCTTATTAAGGACAGTAGATTGGTTTCACATCAGTGGAAACTGTTGTTAAGGTTGAATTCGGAGGACAAGCAAACGGCATTACGCACAGTTTCCACACAAAGAAACCTTCGTATTTTTTAAAAAATAATATTAATCGACATTCAAGTTCTATATGTAGTGCGGAAACTGTGCGATAATGGCCTTTATGGATGTGAAACCGTTCTATTAAAACAGAATACAAATAACCAGCTCAATACTTGCATGTAAGCTATAAAAGTTGCTTGTGTATATACCTACGAATAAAAAATTCTGACGTTTCGAAAAGAAACATTTTGTGATTAGGAGAAGCATTTTGACGCAAGTTTATTATGACTGTGCAATGACTTTACATAAAGCTTTGAGGATCAATTGACGATATGACGTCAATACAAGCCGCTGACATATTTCTGCTCCCACGCACCGGATGCCCACGCACTGGATGCTCTAAGCAGATTCAATCAGGACACACCCTTCAAAACTTTCGCTCATTGAACTTCTTTCACTGAAATCATTGTCATGGGCATAAACGACAGCCTCTTCGGAAACGTCTTGTTTAAACTATAAAAATTAAATTTCAGTTTGTATAGCTACGAGTCACAAAAGCAATAATGAATAAAAGGTACGAAACTGGTCAGGAAAGGACAATTTTTGTTATTCAAACGGTACTATGTACATAGTTTATCAATTTTGCATTTCTAATTTTATAAAAGCCACTGTTATGTTACTCAAGTCATACGACAAAGAAAATGTGTATAAATTGAAACCATAAGTAAGGAAAACTTTGCATGCACTTATACAATGAATTTTCTTTAGGTAATTTACTTTACGAGAATACAATAAGAATATTTGTCGAGGTTTTCACTCCTCTGCTTGTTGAAAATTCTTCAACCCTCTTTGTTTTAACTTTGATTCACTGTGGTAGTTCTTTGTGTTAGAAACAATTACTTGCATTTTTTGATACGAACGGTAACTAAATTGTAAAACATGAGTCAATCCCTCTTTTTAAATTATTAACAGTAATCACTATCACTACAGTTTTCTCACGCGTCACAACAAAAAGAAAGAATCAAACCAATGAACAAAGAACTAGTATATTGCTCTTTTAACAAAGAAATATTAACGGAAAACTAACCTAGCGACGATATTTTTATTGCTATGACCAAAAGAATGCTGTAAAACAGAATGTTAAATTTGACTCTAAGTTGTACGGAAATATCACAAACGCTTTTTGAATGCGTTTAGCTAATAATATTTATCAAAAATAGCCGAACAAATGGTATTACAGCAAACGTGAAAACACGTCGTCTGCATTCGGAAAATACTTGAATTGCCATTTTTAAAAAACATGTTTTCGTTATTTTGAAGCTGTTGTAGTTCTTACTTCAGTTTTGACTTGTCGGCTGAACTATTGTCATTTTTACGGCTTTAAGCCGTAACTTTGAAAAGGAAGTTAAAGTGGAAAACTGCACTACGCGTACTGTTTGCCAAACGACAAGATGACCGAAATTATTATCAGTGCAGTAAAAATTATCAGGCCCATCCATTTAAGGCCAACTTGAGTGAAATGTTACTGACAAGTCACGAAAGAAACACAAAACTAGGAGCGCAAGGATTGTGCGAAGTTTCAAAAGGAAACTATGGCTAAATTTTTCAAATTAGAAGTGTTGAGATGGTTTATATCTAACTATGAGGTTTTGTTGCATTACACTCTATAGGACTGACTGAATATTTAAACTTGTACAATATGCATGTATTGCTTTAAATAATGAGATCAAAGAAATTCATCCAATGAGATAAAGCTCGTTTAAATTACTGTCAAACTCCTATAATAAATCACTGGCAATTCCCGCACACAGCAAACAGACGTCCTCCGTCTGCGTCCGTTGTCCCCGTCCTCTTTTATCTACACCCCCAGAAAATTTAATATTGATAGCGATGATGTCAGCATGTCATACCCACTTTCGCTTAGCAAAGTTAACTTTGTCTTCCGTGTCGATATGCTACATCAGTGGACAAATATTTTGTGATTATAACGGCAATATACGTCTATAAAGACTTTACTTTTTAAAGAACGTTGAACGAACAGAGCTTAAGGACACATGATTGTTGATCTTTTGTCAGTCCAGCAGGTAAGTTGTTATTTGTCCTATAGCTTTTATGACTTTTTACTGTCAACACAACAAAATTTGGTGGTCTATCTGACTACGACATATAACCAAAACTTTTGTCAGTATAGTTGTGTCTTTTTGGTTAAATAATAGCTTTCCGTTTCCTTTCAAAACATTAGCATGTCTCAATACCTTTGCAATTTGTGATTCCTGTGCACAGACACAACAGATTTTCGACAGTAGCAAGATATGATGAGAAATGATTGTTAGGTAAAAGCCCAGCATATACGAGTATAGCGTTGACTACGGCCATCAAAGAATCGTGTAAAAGATTAATGTATTTTAATATGACATATCGTCGCGACTAAAGCAGTTTCATACTGTTTTGATACGGTCTACTTAATCTTGCAAATATTTATCACTTATTCACTTATAATCACCTCAAGTTACATATGTTTCCTAGAGGTGTTTGATTACAAATGTTGTCGAGAAAATGGAAAATGCGAAAGTATTGTTTCGAGTAGAAGAGTCATTTTAATGGACTCATCATTTCCAGTTTTACGAGCAAGGCTAAGTAATCAATAGCCACATTAAGATTTACAACCTTTAGGCTTCAATTATACGCCAGCTATGTAGTTAACTCCGGGTACTCGTTCGTGCGAAATCCAGTACTGTATAAACCTATCGACTTTGTGTCTACGTATATTCCTGTACTGCATTAAGACATACAGGAGTTACTGAAGGCTAATCTCAATCATAGCGAGTAAATGTTTTGCGACAGAGGCGTACCCAGTGGAATGGATAATCATATGCGTATGCTCTACGATACAAATTTTTTTTAAAATAAACTGTTTTCTACAAACAATATCATGCAAAATTCTGATCGGGCCAAATTTCTTATTACAAATATAAAACGACGTGAAGAATATTTTGGGCAAAAATTTACTGCTATTTCTACTTTAAAACGCTGTGAATCTTGATTCGAAAATTCGAAGGAGTGAACAACTCTACGATACACAACTTGTTCTAAACAAGAAAAAAACTTTTATTTCAAAATTGACTCAAAATGTAGAATTAATCATCGTATGCAAATTTCGGGTAGAAATTAAGTTTAGTCAACCATCTGTATTCTTATCAAAAGCGGAAATGACGATTTATTTAAGTAAGACTTCAAAATATATGATATAAGACTACTTGGTCTATTTGTGGCTTGTACGTGTGTTAGTAAGTTATTTCTTCTTTATAAGAACGAGTTTTTGAGATCTTGATCAAAGTTTTATCAGACATTAGAACTACTAATGAAGAGAACAACATCCACAATTTTGTCAAATGCATTGTTACATGTTTCACGAAGTTGTATTACTTGGGCAAAGAAGACACAATAAAAGTTGCACAAACTTGTTTTTTCAACAAATTGTGACAAAACACTATTTATACCTGATTCCCAAGAAAAATATGCTGGATTGTTTTGAGTATAGCACGTGAGCACTGGCTTACAAATAAATATATCTGGCAAGGGGGGTGATCCTAAACTGCTACTTCATTTTGTGTTGTGGAGCAACTGACCAAGCCAACTATATCATGTAGTTTTAAAGACTTACTCAATTGAAGGCTTAACTTTTGATTTAACTTAGTTTGATTTAAAATCTTACTTCAAATAGCTAACATTATCCAATGATGCTTTTCGGCAAGGTTTTATAAATCTATACGGAGTAAAAATTGCCAAGTACTATTGCTTATAAGTACTTTCTTCCCACTGAAGTCTTAATTCATCATGAAGCATATTCCGGTCTTCTAAATTAGTCTATCAGTTGAGGGGGTACGATGGATAAATGAAGAGGAGCAAATAAAAAATTTATCAATCTGATAGTTATCTGATAGCAAGTTTTTCTTAGTAGCTTTCCCTCAGAAATTGACACGTGAAAAAGTGGCTGTATGTTTTCTCTTGCCGTCATTTTGTTTTGTTAGAAAAGATTTTAAAAGTTTTATTTGATTGGTGGAAAGCTTTAAAAGGCAGCAATTCTTGAGTTGAGTTATCTAAAAGTTTCCAACGTAACTTATTTCATTCCACGCATTAGAAATATAAGTCTATGTCTTCAACATTACTATCATCTGGAGTTATGTTCTCATCCATGACAGCCACGCTGTCGCACGTCAAAAAACACATATTTGTACACTTCAGTCCATTTTTCAAGCAGCAACATGACTGCATAGAGTACACCCGTTTGTATGAACATGACAGAAGTTCAAATAAATCTTCTGGAGCGGGTTTGACCTAGCCATAGGAAGTTATTGATGTCATTATCAAACTCTCATCCGTGTCGTTGTGGAGATTGTACCTCTAAAACAAAGAGACAAAACACATCTCCAGATAGTGCTTGGTATTTGCATCGTTCAACATGAAGACGCTGAGATGATTTGCATAGAGGTAAAGCTTAGGGCTCCACTTTGCCACCTTTTACGCAGTAAAGCTTATATTGGGGCAGATCTACGCTGTAAACCTCATGTCGATAAAGATTACACACAAAAGCTTCTGTTGCCTGACAGATTTCTTCAGATAAATTCCACGTTTCTCGGATTTGCGCCATATCATGTAGGCATTCTGTCTTTTTTTTGTGGAAGCTGCATTGCTTTCCATTTTTCTTTTTCAAAAGAATGCAGAAACTTTGTTGCAACCAGTCGGAGCGTGTACACCAATCAGACCTTTGAGATAGTTGTTTTTGCTAGTGCCATCAAATAAATGGTTATTTAAGTAATCGAAAAATGACGACAATTTGATTATTTTGGACTATGAACCTTTACTTTTCTTGATGTAACACTCACCAAGAAATTGGCAGTGAGCAAGATAAATAATAGGAACATCAGCGTCATTACAATGAATAACACACTTGTCACTAGCATGTTGTGCATGGAGAATGATACGCGTATCTCCTTCTTAATGGTTGTACTGCAACTCTGGAACCAGTGCACAAGTGCCAAATGTAAGTTTCCAGCACTGGTCTTCGCATGTGACATACATTGGATGGTCAACAAGTTTGATTCTAAATTAAGGATTCCTCCATTGCGACAGCAAATATTTTATGATTTCGATCTTGTTCCATGTAACAGAAAGCAATTTACTCCACACTTTCACTTTGTAACCCGACTAAATGCTCTTATACTTGATCCCATCATAGCGCATTGAATTCCTTCTTAATCTTTCAAGACTGTTGATAGAAATTTGTTTTTAAATATCATAAACCACGTCAATTCGTTTGCTATCGGTGTTGGTCACCAATTCAAATAATTTTTCACTGACCACTTCAAATGCTGCACAGGGTAGAGGTTTAAACTTCTGCAGGAGCGCCATTTGAGCATATATATAGTTTGTGTTCGCAGGATATCAGTCCATGATCTTGATATGTTTCTCAAATTGTTGGGTAAGTACTACTTTGTTTGTCTTTCTTTGTGAAGCATATGGATCGGCTAGAGACCAGGGAAGTGCTCCTAATGGATATTTAAAGACAATTTTCATGTAAATATTAAGGAGTTGACTGAGCAATGCCATGCAAGCGAACAAAGATATATTCATTTGTAAGGGGATAACTTTAGTCTTTCATTCAACTTTAACTGTGGTTTTCAAATTTTCAATTGTTTTCAGTTTCAGTTTCTTCATATGATCTTAGAATTGTTTTTCTGGGGATGCAAAAATTCGGGATGAAACAAACTCCTTTTGCTGCTTCTTACCCTCTTTTTCTGGCTTTCAACAGGTCATTGCGTAATTTAGTTGTCACAGCAATCCCTGGTGGCAAGTTCGTGAACTCGGCGTTTGCTTTCCAATGATTGCTAAATACTTCATCCAGAAGATCAGCTAAATTGTCTACATGTCTTGCATCTGCTTTTATTCTTCCTGGTTTCAACTCGTTGTGGAAATACGATTTATTTGCTGCTATGGACAAATGCTCTTTCATGAGTTTTCTGTACGCAGCACGCCTCGCGTGCACCCATCTGAGATGCAGCAAAATTGGTACTGAAACCAATATATCCAACGCTTGTATTAAAGTCTCTGTTTATGGTATTCTTAACAGTTTTGTCTGCTTCATTGCGTTCCAAGGGATTCTGTTTTATCATTTGAATCAAGGACTGACCGTTACTGAATGCAGCATGCTCTTGTGGCATTGCAGTGGGCAAGCTTTGCATGTCATTTAAAAGTGAGACTAGGTATCGTGCATAACTTTTTCCATCATATTCAAATGCCCAATTGATGATTTCTTCGATGCACACAAGATAAAGATTCCATGACCTTGTTCATGTAGCGTAAATTAAATTGAGTAGGAGATCGCAAAGGTCGATATATGTTAGCCAAAATCTTGCTAAATTAGTTCCACTTTTCTTGATGTCATGAACATATGCATTAAACAGATTTTCCCACTTGAGAAACTTATGACTTTGTAACACCTTGGTAAGCTCCTCTTCATTATGATTTAGCTTCATTTGCTATAGGTCTAACGACGTCACTGACTCGACCAACGACTCAAATTCCTTCAAAATAAAATTCATTAGTGCTTCGTATGTCAATTTGTGAAGGTGCACAGCTCTGTTATAAAGCTTTCCTGTCAATACTTTGTTAATGTAACCTTCGGCAATTACTTTGCTTTCTACAGCAATTTCTCGGAGACAGGCATCGCCAAACTGGGTTCCAATGACACCCAATAACATCATGAGAAGATGGAATCTATCCATCATCATGACAAGCCCGTCAAATAAGGATTTGTGTTTCCAGAATATTTCGATCGTGTTCGCGTTAAATACCTGATCTAAAACACAAACAATTACCTCATAAGCAGTTTTCAGATCAGTAGCAGAGGAATGTATTATATTTTTGCAACTAATAACGCTCTGAACAATCACCACGTGGTCTCTGATTATAATACAGGGCTTTACCAAGAGTACGACTACGACAACGAGTACGAAGTTTGACCGTGTAAGGGAATGGCACGAGGAAGTTTGTTGTCGTTGTTGCTTTGTCAAAATTTTGTTTT